AAGGTACTGGACGATGACTGGGACAGGGCTCTCTCCTCCTCATGCCCACAGTTATTTCCCAACAACAGCTCCCACCTGAGCAGCTCACAGGGGCAGGCACTTAACATCACCTCGGTTCACTCTCACAAGCAGACTATGGTGTCTCTGTCTGACAGACGAGGAGACTGAGCTCAGAGTACCTTCCTTTATTTCCTCTGTCTGCCAGGGCACGCTCTGGGCCTTGGGCCTTTACCCGATGTCCTCCCCAAGTTGACCCACACCTTACCTTTGATCACCACCAGCTCTCAGGGTTTCCAAGCCCCTGAGCTGCTCAGCAGCACCTGCCCAGAACCCCTAACATGGGTCTCTACATTGCACACTCCAGGCTAGTCCAGATCTCAAGTCCTCATGTGTGTGCAGGTCTCCTCTCTCTGACCAGCTGTTGGGTAGAGGTTATGGCCATTCATCCCCTATGCACCCCCACGAAGCAGCACTACACTGTTTGCAATGTGCTCTCAGAAACCCAGTCTCATTCGAATCCTTGCACACACACCTCTGAGGTTGGGATTATTCTCCCCATTGTACAGAGGAAGAAACTGAGGCCGAAAGAGGCTCCGTGACTTCTTCTGCATCCCATGGTCACAAAATGGCAGAATCAGGTCTGGGACTCTGCTCTTGTTCCCCTCAGGCTCAGGTCCTTGGCCAGCCCCAGCCTGGGGAGGGGAAGAGCCCTGGACAGACCGGAGAGGGCATGCTCACCCCAGCACTTACTGGGGTGGAGGAGTAATTCACTATCTGAGCTCTAGTTTCCTGACCTCTGGAAAGGGGATAAAACTACCTAGCAGTGTTATTTACAGGGTCGGGTGGTAGTTCAAGGAGAGGTTGGTAGAGAAGGAGCACCTACTGGATGCTGTTAGTTCCCATCATGCCTGCACATAGTAGGCCCTCCACAAGTTCTGACTTAGTCCGACAGTCGGCAGTAATCCTGACCCAGCACTTCTAACAGCGGGTGGCGTAAAGAGTCAGGCAAGGATGGATTAAGGAATTCAAGAAGATTACTCAGTAATCAGAGAAACGACCTAAGCTGCCTGGGAAAAGACTGGGATCAGACTGTTCACTTAATTTATTCAACAAATGACTGTTGAACACTTAGCTGAGCTGGAATGATGATGACGATGATGATGATGGCAGTGGTGGCTCTCAGTTATTGAGAATCTGCTTTATATACAGTCTTATCACATCAACCCTGGAAGGTTGATATTCCTTAAACAGAACTTTTCCTCTAGCAGGGAAGGTTCTAGTCAGGTCTGGAACCAGGGAGAGGCCAACGAGGAACCTAGAGCAAAATTTAAGGAGGCACCTGCCGTTAGGACTCTTACAACACTCGCCTCCCTCTGGTCCCTAGCCCAGTGCTTGTGGTGGGCACTGTGATGTGCTGCCCAGACCCTCTTCCATGAACTTGTTGCTCGGGCTGCTGGGAGTGCTGCCGGCAGACAGCCTTCCCCTGGCAGCTCCTCAGGGATTGCTCAGCGGTGGGGAGCTGCCTCACCCACAGCCACGCCACTTCCCTGGGCAGCCACATCCGATGACTGATGGGGCAAAAGCATAAAGGAGTGTAATGGGATGACTCTGAAGGGCGCTTCTAGCTGCAGAGCTCCCTGTGGGGCTGGCTCAGGCTCTTGTTGGGTCAGCCTTGCAGCTTCCTCTGCTCACTTCTGCTCTGGCCCCTTCCTTCTGATCTTTAGGGTGCTCTCTAATAAACCTCTTGCAAGCTAAAGACCATCTCAGAGTCTGCTTCCCGGGGACCCCAACGTCCAACAGTGTGACTGTTGGAGTAGCCCCTTCCTAGCTGGTTAAAACACAACTTTTCGAAAGACTCTTCGAAACATAATATAAAGGTAACCCCGAAAATCCAGGGCTCGGTGATGATGAACTACAATCTACACTGTGCTAAACACCTTGTGTGAATTAGTATGTTTAATCCTCACTGCAGCTCTATGAGAGAGGTACTATTAGCATCTCCCTTTTATAGCTGAGTTCAAGAGAAGTCAGACTTTTCTTGGAAAAAACTACTTGGTGATGAAATCTAGTAAACCAGAAGATGATTCAAAATAAAGAAGTTCAGCCTGGGGAAAACTTTCATATGAAAAGGAGAAAAAAAAGATGGAGAAATGTTTTGTTTGTGCCATGACTCAGTTCCCAACCCCGAGGGAGCCTGACTCCAACCTCAAAGACCCAGCCTAGTTATGAGAGTGAAATCCACAGGACTCAGGGGCGACAGGTTGCTTTAGGAGGCCCCTTCCTTCCTCCCTCCACCTTCCTTCCTTCCTTCCCTCCAGGAAGAAGGGAGAGATACCTAATGGACCCACAGGAAGCTGGTTTGGTCACCATAGAAGAACCAAGACTAGGAAGGTAAGGTGACTTGCTCAAGGTCAGGCAGCTAGTAGGAGCCACTTCTGGAGATAGACCCTGAGGCTGTCAGACTACAGGCCTCTAGGTACTGGCAGGAAGGACACTCCATCCTCCCGTCCAGCTGGGAGGGTCAGAATCCTCCAGAGAGTATCAGGGATTTGGGGATTCAGGTGGTGGGCTGCCCCAGCCTGACCTTCTCCTCTGTCCACCTTCTGCTGTCCAACTTGTCAGCAGCCCCTCTGGGAGGGATGGGGGGCGGGAAAGAGCTCAGCAGCTGGACTCCCTCTTCTACCCCCACTTAACTCTAGAAAGAGGCAGGTGTTGGGTTTTCACTGTAACCCCTTCCATATGGAGAGCATTTAGAGTTTACCAAACGCTTATCATTCCATCCCTGCATTTGCTCCTCACTTAGCGTGAGGCCTATTGCCTTGTGAAATAGCAGGGCAGGGTTATTAACTCCATTTTGCTGGAAGAGAACTGAGGCCCAGAGAGAAGGGAATCAGGGCAGTGTCCAGGCCAGGGCCAGACCCCGCCCCCCATCCCAGTCTAGCCCTTTGGTTTCTGTCTCTGGCCTGGGGTTTTGGGCAAATCCAGGGCAAGCATTGGCCTTTCTGAGCCCAGAGCTCAGGCCAGTCCCTTCCCAGAAGCCTCGCTGCTCTTGCTCCCCATCCTGTCCCTGGAGGCCTCATTATCTTAGGGGATCTTTATTCATTTGCCAAATACCTCCTGTTGCCCACTCCACGCCTGTCCTGGTGGCTCTGGAGCTGGTGCTGATACAGTGTGCCCTGTGTGAACACAGGCGGGAGGGAGAGTCATGTCCACAAACGAGCTTGGCATGAGAGTGAAGCCCAAACGCTGGGGACAGGTCTCAGCCTCGTGTTCCTCTCCTCTCCAGCTCCACTTCCCTGTCCTCCCCTGGTCCTCAGCATCTCCTGCCTGCCTTCAGTCTCCCTCTTCCTGCCTTTCTCCCACACCCCCGAAGCACCTAGGGATCTTTCCAGAGTCAACAGCAGAGGGAGGCCAGGAGCTCACGCTGGTCATCAGGACTGAGGCCAAATCCTGCCAGGCCTGGGCAACTCCACGTCCCTCATCTGTAGAATGGGGACTGTGCCTACCTCACAAAGTTACCGTAAAGCCATTTGACCCTTGTTGTGCCTTCTAGAGACGCCATGCCTTCCCATACATTCCCTATACTTGTATGCCTCCCTGCCTTTGAAGGGGTCTTCACTTGCCACCTTCTCCAAGTCTTACAGACATACTTATCATTCAAGGCTCTGCTCACCACATCAGGTGTCACCGCCTCCCTGAAGCCTGAACTGACCTGACCACCAATCAGCTGAAACCGCACCCTCCTCTGGGTTTGCCCACTGGCCCGTCCTACCTGTTTTCTAGTCGTCACTCACTAGTGCTTCCTTGTACCAAGATGAGTTGATTTCCAGGTCTGTCACCCCCTATTCCCACCTGGACTGTGACTCCTCGAGGGCATGCACCAGGCTGGCACAGGGCCTGGAATAAAGCTAGCCCCAGTTTGTGTAGATCATCATCGTTATCATTTATTGAGGGCTGCCTAGGTGTCTGTCACTTCTGCTCAAGGCCTCCCATTGCATTTGATCCCCACAACCACCTGAGACTGGGACCATCTGTCTCCGAGGAAATAGCCTCAGAAACCTGAATGGCTGGTGTCTTGGACAAGGAGAGAGCCACAGTTCAAAGCCAGGGCTGTCTGAGCCCAGGTACCACCCAGCTCCCCTCTGGCCTCCGTGCTGCCCTGAGCAAACAGGTGAGGGCAGCACCACCAAGCTCCCCCCACCCCTCCCAGCAGCTGGAAAGTCCAACGTTGGTGCCCTCGGGTTACCCTGCCACCCGGCGGTGGCAGCCTCTGCCTTCCAGATTATGACATAACAATTGCACAACCCACAGATATTTTCGAAAGAAACTGTCAATTTCCTCTCCTGGGCACTGCCAAGGGCTGTCGCCTCCATCCTACCCAGAGTCCCCAACAGCCTCAGGACTCTAGAAGCCAAATAGAGTCAAGGGTTGGAGTGAGAAGGAAACGAAAACACAAGACTATAAAGTGACCCAGTTTTATTTTGGTTTTGGAGGCCAGATGGGGCGTTGCTCCACTCTGCAGGGGTTTGGGCTGTACAGTCCTCCCCTCCTCCAAGCGGGAGGCCCAGGACCTCAGGGCCCAGGCAGCAGGGGTCGTGCCCAGTGTATAGGCGGCTCCAGGGACCCAGTGACCGCAGTGGGTTGCACAAGGAGAGAGGGGAATCAGGCAGAGGCCTGGAATGGCTCAGATTGTGGGCTGGGTTGGGGCGGGGGAGAGTCCGAGAGGGCACAATCCAAGAACGAGGAGTCCGGAAGGGGGACCAGTCCCCTTCTCTTTACCGCTGAGGCTACGGGTCAGAGAGGTGAAGACAAACTGTCACCCTGCAGGAGGCAGGGCCTGGAGTGAGGCCAGGCGTGCCAGCCCGGGGTGGGCTCCGGGCACCAACCCGCTGCCTCCACCCTCACGGAGGGTGCGTGCGGAGCCCAGGAGCTCGGCGCGGAGTCGGGCAGGCAGTCAGGCCCCCTTCTCTCGGGGACGCCAGACAGGCGCGCGGCCGCGCTCAGCAGCTCACCGAGCCGGCGGGCGGCGCCGACCCCAAGTCCGAGAAGCAGTCGAACTCGCTCTGGCCCAGGAAGAGCTCGGGCAGCTCGCGCACGCGGTGCAGCCCGAGCTCCAGCTCCAGCGACGTCAGCACCTCCTCGTCGATGAGCTCGGCGTCCATGCCGCCCAGGGCGTGTACGGCGGGCGGCGGCGGCGGGGCCGAGGCGCCGGGCGCCGGCTGCAGGCTCGGGGGGCCTCCCGGGACGCCGGGGGGCGCAGTCGCGCGGCCCGGGTACAGCATCGCCACGGGCTGCAGGTGCGCACTGCCGGCGGCCGGCGGCGGCACAGCCGGAAAGGGCTGGAAGGCGGACGGCGGTCCGAAAGCCCCGTACGCCAGGGCCCCGGGTGGGGGCGGCGGCGGGCCCAGCGGAGCCCCCCGCGGCCGCAACCCGCTGTCCGGGCCCGGGCCCGCGTACGGCTGCAGCGGCCGGAGCACGTGAGGGCCATGGGCGGGCGCGGCGGGCGGCGGTCTCTGCACCAGGTGGTAGCCCTCGGCGAGCATCAGGTGGTCGGCCATGACGGCGGGCCGATGGTCAGCGCCGGCGTCCCCCGGTCCCGGCCAGCTGTTCCTCTGTGGCCAGGGATCCGGGTCCCGTGCCCTCCTCGCAGCCTAGTCAGGCAAAGGAAAAGCGAACCGGACCCGTGCTCCTGCCCAGTCCAGGACGCACCGAACTCAGGGCTCCCGTGCGTCCCGTGGCCCCGGCTCGGGTCGACCAACACTGGCACACACCGCCGGTTGGGCTCTGAGACCTCCACGTCGCGCCCGCGGACGCCGCGCTTCTTATGTCCAGAGGCGGGACTGCCCCGCCCCCTGGCGCTCATTGGCTGAATGAGCCGGTCTTGGGCGGGCCCCGCCGCGCCTCCAGGAGGTCTTAGCCCCGCCCCTGTCGGAGCTCCGCACTTTGGACCCGAGGCCGCGCGGCGGGCTTCCCACTGCTGCCCCGGGGCAAGGCGTTTGGCACTTTTCAAGGGGCTTGGTCTGTCTGTCCCAGGCTCAGCCTCGAGGCTGGCTGGGGCCAAGCTTGAACTGACCAGAAGGTGGGGTGGGAGGGCCAGAGGTTTAGGTCCCCACGGCTACAGGATCACAAACCCAATCTTTTAATTTTCCAGATGGAGACTGAGGCTCCGTGGCAGAAGGGGTTTCCTGGGAATACACAGCAAAGCTTTGACAGAAGCGAGACTCGAACCCAACCAGGCCCTGTGATTGCCACCCCTACAGAGGGCCCGGGCACCTTAGTGGTGCAGGGTCGCTCAGAATGTCAGCTACCCGTTCCCATAACCCCAGGGGAGCCAGTTGCTCTGGCTCCCACTCACTTGTCTGTGGAAGCATGCACTGAGTTGTTATTAAAGTAATTTATGGGCATGTCTCCCGAAGGACTTGTTCATCTTCGTGTGCTTGGCCCAGAGCCTGGCCCAGAGCAGGCTTTTAGTAAAAGTTGAGTGAATGAACAGATGATCATACGAATTGCAACTCATTGCCCTGAGCTTCAGTTTCATCATCTGTAAAATGGGGACAACAACAGCACCAACCCCACTGGGTTGTTGTGAGGGTTAAATGCCTGGCACATAGTAGGTGCTCAAAAATGTACCTGAAATGAATGAAAGGCTGGATTTAGTTCTGTCCCTAGAGATCTTCCGAGTCGGGGATGTTGCACCTTCCCTTGATAACGATAGTAATAACTTGGATGTTTAGAGTGCTTTACATTCTACAAGCATCTTGTGGGGGCAGGGTATGGATTATCAGCCCCATTTTGCAGATAAGGAGACTGCGGCACACAAAGGGAAAGTGGCTGTCTTGGGGTGACACACAGCCAGAGTTGGCATGTGAATGCCTGTATCCTTAGAGCAGCTGGAGTCTCCCCCTGTGGCCAGGAGACAGCCTCCCTGAACCTTGCCCTCTACGTGTCTGTCACTTGCCCCTCCCTTCTTTCGCTCCCCTCCCCCTGTAGTGTCCTTGGGATTTCCTGGAACTTGGGTTTATCCAGTTGGTGCAGAGGAGGGAACCCCAGAGTGAAAGTCCAGAGGCCCGAGTTCTAATTGTATCTCCATCGCTCGCAGGCAGAATGACCATTGGGTGTTGGGAGGGAGGTGTCACTTGGTTCCCCAGGGCCTCAGCTTTCTGCTCAGTGAAAGGGAGATTGTAATCCCTGCCCCGGTCACCCTGAGAACCTGTGGGGAGGTCACAAGTGACCATGGGTGTGATCACATTTTTTGCAAAGTGCAAAAGCTGCACACCGGAATTGATTCTTCTGAGTCTCTCTCCCATTAAGGCTTCACACAGAAGTTCCTAAACCTGGCTGCACCTCAGACTCACCTGGGGGCAGGGGGGGCTTTGAAAAATACCGAATCTCAGGCCCCACCCAAATCTCCTGACTCGGACTCTCTGAGGGTATTTTGAAGCATAAGAATTTGTATTTTTAAAAAGCAACTCTGTCATTCTGACACAGTGGGTCTAAGGACACTAACATTTGGGAGCCATTGTGCCACTAAGCAGTTTTCCTTTAAAAAAAAAAGTGCGTGTGTGAATAATGCTTAAAAAATTCTTTAATTTAGTCAACAAATATTTATTGAGCACCTGCTCTATTCCAGGCATTGATCCACTAGTGGTTTTTAAGCTTTCGGGATCAAGTAATTCTCTGAGAATCTAATGAAAGCTACAGACATCATGGTCACAAACTATTGCATATAAATGCAGCGGGTTAGCAGATCTCTAGGGGATCCACGGGGTCCTCAGGGGTTCATGGAATCTGGGTTAAGAACCCCTCTTAGGTACTTGGGCACATGTAGTTAACAACAAACGAAATAAAATAATTATCCTCGTGTTAGAAAGTGGTAAGTACTACAGAAAAAAGGAAAAATAGAGTAGGGAGGAGATTGGAGGTACAGGGGAGCAGACTGCAGTACTGCACAGGATGGTCAGAGCAGGCTTCATTGAGATGGTAATGTCTGAGCAAAGACTTGAAGGAGGAGAGGGCATTAGCCACGTGGTTCCCGGGGCCAGAGTGGTCCCAGCAGAGGGAACAACTGGAGTGTGCTTCTAAAACTGTACTACCAGGGCCCTTGTTAGAAATGCAGATTCTGGGGGCCCAACCCAGACTCAATCAGTTTCTGAATCAGTAACTGGGCTGGGGCTCAGCCACCTGCATTTTAATAAGCCCTGCAGGTGATTCTGAGCCCCTGGGTTAGAGTCAAGCCTCAAGGCAGGTGTGATCAACAGCCAGGAAGGATTGTGGCTGGAGCAGAGAGAGCTTGGGGGCGGGGAGCAAGGAGGTCACAGAGGGAAGCCTGAGGAAGATCACGCAGGGCCTTGTAGGGCCCTGTAAGGACTTTGGCAGAGGAGTGATGTGATGTGACTTATGCTGTGAAAGCATTGCAAACAAACCTTGTTTGTTTCTAGCATTTCCATGAACTGCTTCCTTGCTCTGCCTTGAACTACCCAGGCACATTCATTTCTCAGGGCTCCTGCTGTTCCCGTTGCCTGGAATGTTCTTCCCTCCGACATCCACATGACTCACTCCTTCGCTTTGTTCTGATCTCTATCTAAAATCACCCTCTCAAGGAGACTTTCCCTGACTGTCCATCTCTATCCACTCACCCTGTTCTGCTTTTCTTCTTAGCATCTACCACCACTTGGCATTATTTCAAAGACTGTCTCCCCACCAACAGGTCAGCTCCCTGAGAGCAGAGGTCTTGAATGTTTTGTTTTGCACAATATTTCTAAGGCATCAGAACAGTTCTGGGCACATATTAGGGACTTAAGTATCCATTGAATGAATAAATTAGGCACAGCAGAAGTTATTATCCTTTCTGACAAAGAAGGAAACTGAGGCCCAGAAAATAACTCAGGAAGTTGGCAGAGGTCACGAGGCATGTGTGGCGGAGCCAGGGTTGGAAGCGATGTTTGTAGTCCTTGGAGCACAGCCCTCACCACTGATCCAAGCTGCTTTCACCCTGAGCCACGTCTTTATGAGCCCATGGGGGTGTGAAGAAGTAGCCCTTGAATCCACCTGGCATGAATTAACAGGGCCACAGTGGTCCTTGACCCAGGTGGGCAGCACTGATCAATGGAAGGAACTGGTGGGTCCTAGGGACTGTCTTGTGCCACCAAGTGAGGATGAAATTCTTCCTTCTCCTTTCTTGGGTCCAGTCCCCCTTCTTGAGGACATACAGAAAGATTTGCCCCCAAGTGGCTTCTGCCCTTCCCAAAGACCCCAGGTCCTGGTGGGCAGAATCTCTTGGGTTTTACCCTTGCTGACAGCCCCATTTGCAGTACCCAAGGCAAAGCAAGGCTGAGACAGGGCTCAGCAAATACTTGTCCATGGATTGACTAAGACTGGAGGGCTCTGGAGAGGTACCTGGGGAAGACCTCACTCTAGATCTTCTGAGCTGGCTCCCCAGTCCCTGTTTGAGCAGCCCCCCGAGCCCTATCTCAGCAGCTTGGCAGACTTAGTGCTCAAACCTGGAGACTGCTCTGAGACCTGAGGTCCAGGCTCTGACTGGCAGGCAAAGTTCATCTCTGCTACAGCTTTTCCTCTAGGTTTCAGGGGAGGGGAGATGTTTCTACCTAAGGGCCATGTCCTCCAAGGGCCCCCAGCTGATGATTTTCACCACTGTACCTGATGTTCGGATAAGAATGAGGCTACTGAACCCAATCGTAACAAGAATAACATTAGCCAACGTTTACTGAGTATTTACTATGTACCAGAGATGGGCTGGATGCTTTACATGTACAGATGGTCCCTGACTTATGATGGTTCAACTTAACGATTTTTCAACTTTACCGTGGTGTGAAAACAATACTCATTCAGTAGAAACTGTACTTCCAGTTTTGAATTTTGATCTTTCCCCAGGCTAGCAATACGTGGTACAATCCTCTCTCGTGATGTTGGGCAGTGGCAGAAAGCCACAGCTCCCAGTCAGCCCCGAGATCATGAGTGTCAACAATGCATTTGCTTACAACCATTCTGTACCCATCCAACCAATCTTTTTTCACTTTCAGTACAGTATTCAATAGATTACAGGAGATATTCAACACTTGATTATGAATAGGCGTCGTATTAGATGGTTTTGCCCAACTGTAGGCTAATGGAAGTGTTCCGACACATTTAAGGTAGGCTAGGCTAAGCTGTGATGTTCCGTAGGTTAGGTTATTAAGTGCATTTCAACTTACAGTATTTTCAACTTACAATGGGTTTATGGGGATGTAACCCCGTTGTAAATTGGGAAGATCTGTATTATCTTATTTAATCCTCATAACGAACCTGTGAGTAGTTATTTCTATCATTCTCATTTCACAGAGGGGGAAAACGGGACACAGAGAGAAGTGACTTGCTCAAGGTCACGCAGCTAGTAATGGAGGAAAGGAGCGTGGCCACCCTGCCACTTGCCTCCTGGTGTTCTCTCTTCTTTCCCAGCATGCAGCAAGCTCCTGCCCCAACAGCTTCAGCTGTTTCCTCTGCCCAGAACACTCTCCTCCCTCACCCCCAGATCTGTGTGGCTAACTGCCTCACCTCCTTCAAGTCTTTGCTCAAATATTACCTTTCTTTTATCCTGACTACTCCATGTAATTGTAGTGCTTACCAAAAAGGTCCACGAATTCTTTGATGTTCCTGCTTAAATTCCCCTCTCCTTGAATGTGGGCTGCACATAGTGACTCACTTCTAACGAATAGAATGTAGCAGAAGTGATTTCCAAGACTAGATCATAAAAGATATTGTGGGTTTCTCTTTACTAT